GCTTGTCACAGGGCTACAGCTAGATGAAAGGTGACCTTGAAATGTAATTAACCTTTGCTGACCAGCTACTTTGAAGCAATAATCTATACCATTGAAGAGATAACAAAAGGCTTGTGGGTGGCTTGCTATTTCTAAACCTCCCTTTCCTTGTCTGAGAAATGGAGCCTCTGGAGGTGTTAAATAAATTACCCAAAGTCACACCACTGGTAAGTGATGAGGTTAATGCTAACAGTAATGTCTCTTAGCTAGTATTCCATATTGTTGCTTCTGTAACTCACATAAAAATGTATCAGGCCCATGGAGACCATGTCGTGTCCACTTTTTTTTCTCACACTCTATATGATGATGCTTTGCAAAAATGCTTTGAGTTCCCCAACGTTTAGCTGTCTTTATAAAACATAGGAATAGATGATAGGGTCGAATAGTGGGGTGGGGAGTAGTCCCTACCAAAGTTTCCTGTCCATCCAGAACCTGAAAATAAATGACCTTACTCAGAAATAAGGTCTTTGCAGGTACATTAAGTTAAGGATTTCAAGGTGAGACCATCCTGGATTTGGATTTAAGGTCGGCACTACATGCAGTGACTGGTACTCGTAGAAAATGTACAGAGACAAAGACACAGGGAAGAAGGCTATGTGAAGACAGAGGCAGAGACTGGGGTCGTATCACAAACCAAGAAATACCAGGAGCCACTGAAGGTTGGAAAAGGCAAGGAGTCTCCCTTAGAAACTGCAGAGGGAGCATGGCCCTACAACATTTTTTTTTAAAATAAAGAAATGTATGTTTCTTATCAATTTCCCACAAATATGATAGGTTCAGACTAGCAAGTAGCACCTGCCTACTTCCCTAGGAAATAGTCTGGTACAGGGCAAGGAATGTGAACTTCACCGTGGGATGAGCAGGAGGAACCACCGAGTCATGTATACCGCTTGCATAGTGGCGTCTTGTTTTGGATTCTGAGCCTCCAGAACTGGGAGACGATACATTTTAAGCCATCGAGTTTGTGGCAATTTGGTACAATAGCCCTAAGAAATTAAAGCTGGCTCTTCCAGAAACAATGGAGGGAAGGAGGTGTGTTCCATCCCATTCAAAGGTGACCTGAAATCAAAGTCTACAAGGCAGGAGACTTTGTCCCCAGACAAGGAGTAAATGACTCATATGTTCAATCTGTGATCAGTCACTTTCATTTCAGAAAACCTCAGGATCAAATGAGGAATTTGCTTCAGCAGACACCACAAATTTGGGAGTTGGTCAGTTCTTTGAGCCCTGGACCCACCACCTAAGCACGTGGTGCTTTTACATCCCTGAAAGAATACACACCTGCAGTCAGACATGGAACAACTCTTGGTCCTGGCATCATAGTTTTTAATGTGACTTTGGACCAGCTAGCTAATTTTCTAGCTATGTGGCATAATCTCTACCCTTGGCTTCTGGAATTAGATGATCTGTACACGCAAAACGCCCTTCATAGTGTTGACACACAGAGGGCAGTCAAACCAATAGAAGCCTTCAGCTGCTTCCCTCCCTCACCGCTTATCTGGGTCTCAGAGTTTCTGTTTGAGTTTGTTTCTTACCTATTTTTCAATAGCTTTTCAATTTTAACTTCCCTTTGACCAAGGACCATGTCTGTCTGGGTCATTGTTCTATCCCCTGACAATAGTAGGGGTTAAATGATTGAAGTGATATTGCCCTGGTCTACGTTCTTTGACAATAGGGCACCCCTCTTTTATTGATTTTGAATTCTTTAGGGGTTTTCTTAGAACTGGAAGAGAAAATATGCTCAGGGAGTATTGTTTTGATTGAACTATTTTGAGTGTGAGTGAGAAGGGAAGGGAAGGGCTTTGGGTCCAAAAAGAAACAGAGTTTGAGATTAATGCATTTTGGGTTTTATAATTGTTGAGGACTGCTGCTTCTCTGAGTCGTGTGCTTCATTATCTTTTTAAGTTGTCCGTATATAGATTTATGAGCGTCTGTTTCAAGGAATGTATTCGGGATCATTGACTCCAAAGAAATTGTAAGGCACAAGCCATTTTCTCTTTGGAAAGATGGATTAAAAGGTCACTGCCTTTAAAGTCAGAAAAATAATGTCTCTCTCCCCTCCCATTCCTTTTTTTTTTTTTTCCTGTTTGAGAACTTTCTCGAAAGAGGAGTCCCAGAACTTGCTGGGACAGAGTGAGCTCCCCGCAGGCGCTACCCCCAGAATCTCTGACTTCAGGTCAGTCCCCGGTGTGCCATCCCTATGTCTGCCCTTCCCTCCGAGCCACATGGTCCTGCTGATCCCACACACCCCTGTGACTGCTGTGGAACATGGTGGCAGCCTGAGGGGGTGCTGACTCTAGACCTCTACTGATGGGGAGGGTGTGGTGCTTGTGCTCACCCTTCCACTCACCCCCCACTAACCCAGCAGGTCCGGGAGAGTGAAAATCTCTGAGTTGGTAGCAATTGGGAGTTATTTCAATGCACATTCCCATCCTTAAAATAATGGATATGTTAATTTTCTTGATGATGTTAATTATTTTACAGTGATTGCATATACATATATGTATATTTAGTATATATACATATATTAACACAGGACATTGTGCATCATACATATATATCATTTTTATTTGTCAATTATACCCCATAAAACTAGAAAAAATGCATCAGCAAACATCTATTAAGTTTTTATAATATGACAAGTGCAATGCTAATCATTTCTTTCCTACTTTTGCAGATGGGAATGTGGGGCTCAGAGAGGTTAAGTAACCTGCCTGATGTGGCACAGCTTAGAAGGGCAAAAGGAGACCTTTGAACCTAAGTAGTTTACACTATGGTCACTGAGAGGAAGAAAGGAGCATCCCAGTGCCGGCATCTAAGCCCTTAGTGGTGAGTCCCCTCTCCAGATGCTTGCACATCCCATGAAATGGCTGAAGTAGGAGACTAAGGGAGGGCTTCCTCTAACTGTCCCCACAGCAGCAGGGAGGGAAGAACTCAGCGCAGGTGCAAATTGGTCAGTCACTTCACTTCTCTGTCTTTGCTGACCACAAGGCTTGTTTCAAGATAGCCCATTTGAATTTAATCATACTTCCTGGGCCACCATATGCTAAGAGTGTCTAGCACCTCTTCTCACTCTCTGTTCCTTGTTGCTGGGGCCACTTGAGCTCAATTCTGAGGGCCATAAAAGGGGATCCAAAGAGTCAAACTTGGAAAGTCAGAGGACTGAGCATTAAGCCTTACCTCTTTCCGCACATCAGCTTCAGTCCAGATTCGAAGATACTGGCTTCTAATTTAGTCTGGAATTGGGGTTCCTAGGCAGTAGCCTATGGTATGAGCTAAGCAATTCTGGGACTGGATCCTCAAGCAACTAATTTCCATTTTCTCACTGATGTTTCTCCACCTGAGTCGGACCTCCTCCCTGGCCAACTTCAAGTCCCTCGGAGCTGGACTTACTTCATGCTGGTGAGATCTGAATACAGCTTTGATGTTAAAGTAGAACAGACCCCAAATCTTGTTGGGGTTAGAAGTGCTGAAGCTTATCATAGCGGAAAGGTGCTGTGTATGACCATTTCCATTTTACCACGGGTCTCTGCATTGGATTTTCAACCTCAGTCCCAGCTAACAAAATCAAGGATTACTAATTTAAAAAAAAATTACTAATTACTAATTTAAAAATTATATAAACAAATACCATTCCAAAGAAGATATTTAGATGGCCAATAGGTACATGAAAATATGTTCCTTATTACTAATTTTGAGAGAAATGCAAATGTAATCCATAATGCGCTATCATCATACACTTGTCAGAACGGCCCATGTCAAGAAGACCAAAATACCCAGGGGCTCACTTTCCATTGCCTTCTCTCATTCAGTTATAAAACTCTGGTTCTCACCAAAAGATGCAGACGTACAGCTGTTTCATCTGACCTAATCCTATTGTACCTCCGACCTTCTACCCAATCACATCACCCGTTCCTTAGGGCTTTGTGTATTTCCTTAGACTAAAGTCATTAATTGTGTCCACATCAAGCTTGACTCTGCTTTTTTTTTTTTTTAAAGATTTATTTATTTATTTATACAAGCACTGGGTACAGTCAGAAGTACGGGAGGGTGAGAGAATTCACCAGAGCCAGAGTGGGGAGCAGAACAGGCAGACTGATGAAGTACACTGCTGAGGGGAGCAGCGGGCTTGGCAGGAGAGGTCTGCACACCATGTGGGACCCTCGCCGGTGGCCAGGGATTGAACCGGTGCTGCAGAGGCTGCAGGCAGCTTCTCAGCCCAGCACTCAACCGCTGTGCCACCAGGGAGGCCCTGACTCTGCTTTTTCTTTGACTTTCATCCATTTCCTTGGTACCAGTTTCTATAAATCTCTCCCAAATTTCTTTCCCATCAGAGATGCCAACTGGGAGTTTACATGGTGTCTGGGTAGAAGCACTGGAGTGCAATGACCATGAAGCCAGACCATGTTTTTTGCATTCACTCTTGTGCCTTCAGTCCCTGGCAGAGTAGTGAGCACACAGTATGGCCTCAGTAAATGCATGCTGAGTAAACTAAATATTTTCCCAGATGTTCTCCTCCTCCATCATCCAGCGGACACTTTCTTATCCTCCAATATTCCAGCTAAGCCTCATCTCTTCTGGAAAGCTTCCCTCACTCCCCCAGATCTGATTTAGACACTTCTCTGAGCTGTCACAGTTACATGCTTGCCTGTGGCATGGTACTTTGCTCAAAGAACATAATAATTTATTTACATGTCTGTCTTGTAGAAGCTCCTTAAAGTCAGGGACAATCTTTTACTTGTCATGTTTGATAAATGAAAGATAAAAAAGAAGGAAGTAGTGTGTGGCCTGGGTCCCTGATCTCACCACATGTTTAATCATTGGCCCTCCAGGTACTCCTTGGACCCTTCTATAAATAGATCTTCAGCTTCTGGAAATATCTGAATATGCAGTAGATACACAGCCATGTCTATGATTTCAAGACTCCATACCAGTATCAGTTATTAAAATAGGGACATAATTTACTTCACATTCACATGGTTCTGGCCTTTTTATTTGGGGGGAGGGGTGGAGTCAGGTGTCAGATGCTACACTCCTGAAGATAGAGCTTCTTGACCTATGCCTGGATGAGCAGTCTGGTCAGTCCTCATTCATGGACAAGGGCTAGTAGTCTTTCCACTGACTCAGCGTCAGAGAAATTTTGCTACTAGATTGCTCTGACCTTGGATCACCAGTGGATCAGGCTCAGAATCTCCTTGTAGACTTCTTCCTGCCTGCGGCGTGGCACTTTGCCTCTGGGAAGGATGACCATCATTTTCTGCACAAAATTCATTAGAAAATGGAGTTATATTCTGTAGCATGGATCCTTGCTGCTTGGGCTCAGAGTACCCTGATGCCAACCACAAGCTATTAACTTTGATTGCTATATGGTCCCCCTCAAGTCCCCAAGGCCATCCCCATTGGGACTCCTGCCTCTTGTTGACCTGCCACAATTATGACTCCAGTTCATCTTGGAAATCCAGCCTTTTCAAGCTGCCCAGAGCCAGGTATAGGTGAGTCCTTGTCTTCTAGTCTAACAGATCTCAGCTGCCTGGAGAGCAAGGGCATGAGACAATATGTTTTCTAAGAGGAGAGGAAACAACTGCCTGCCCTCAATAATTTTGATGTCAGCAATGCCCGATCAGAACGTTTTGACTGGGAGGCCACCAGGTGCTTTATCTCCCTTGTCCCTGGGATAACATTAACACTCTTTCATGTTTCTGGGGAGTGTTGCTTTTTTCTCAACATTTTCTATTGTAGTTGATTGTTTGTTTTTTTTTTTCTCCCATTCCATTCTTGCAACGGACATAAAGAAATGGAAGGGATGAGTGGTTTTGTTGCGGAAATGTGATCCGGTGGTCAAGTTGTACTGTTCTTTTCTACTTTCTGTCTCTGATAATGCATGTGTTCTACCTGCACACTCTGTCCTCTCCTCACCTTGACTTACCCTTTCATCATCTTTCCAATCCATTTTATGCCATTTTACACTACTCTGTTTTACTTCATTACATCCCATTTCAAACCAAAACTTCTTATTGAAGTAACAGTAGAGTATTAGAAAAATCTTGATCTTTGATGTCTGACTTGGTATCAAGCCCGAACTCTACTTTTTATGACTTCTGTGGCGTCATATATCTCAGCTCCATTTTCTTTACTGAAATCCATAGGAGGTTGGTGAGAATTGAATGATGGAAGGCAAATGAAAGGCAATCATGATGTGATGTAATGTATGACGATGTGCTATTATAATGTTGTGCACCTGAACCATATATTATGTTATAAACTAATTTTACCACAATAATAATGGTTGTTAGAGATTGAAAATTCATAGGCACATGTTATGACTATTATGATTGTTATGTGAAAGGCACTATGCTAATCAGTGGGGCAAATCCAAACACTAGAATAGTGGGTCTCTGTCTTCTGGTGCCTCATCATTACTGAAAGGGGATAATGCATTTAACCCTGTTATGGCAAGCTGTACACAGCAAAATGTGTTGAGTCTCATGAGGACCACAAAATATAGTGAAAGGAAATATTATATCTAACATAGAATGTGTGTGTGCCCATGCATGTGTGTGCATGTGTATATGTGTTTGTGTGTTGCAGGGGGTGCTTCATGGAGAAGAGAGATTTTAACCTCACTCAGGAAGTAGATGACATTTTATTAGACAGACAGGAAGTAGCAACAGAATCTTTAGGTAACTTGCTTCTCTTCTCTGAGCCTCAGATTCCCTAAATGTTAAATGGGGAAATAACATCCACCTCATAAACTCAATGAATAATAATAACAGTAAATGTCTAGATAAAACTTACTTTTGCTTGTTCTAAGTGAAGGATATGAATCATTCCATTTAAATTATTACAACTACTTTTTGAGTAGGTATTATTTTAGCTCTAAATTTATGTTTAAGGCAACAAGGACACTGAATGGTTAAATAAAAGTTCGTGGCTATATAGTATTAAGAAGAACTGAGGTGAATATGAAATCCTTACCTTAGGCCTGGGGGCTCCAGGGAACTATGCTCCCTGCCAGAATGGAGGAGATGCAGGTATGACTGGAAATGCCTTTGGATCTCCAGAGTGTGATTATCCTTACACTATTCCCACAAAGCTTGGGCCTTCCCCTATGTGACTTGTGAGGTTCTATTCCAGAGTCTGGTGTGATATGTTAGAAGAAGGAATAACTAATGAGACACTTTTTGCAAAACCTTTTGTAAATGTGCACAGACTTCCTAAATGCTAATTTATAATTAGAAAGCATCCACAAAAGAAGATTCATCATTGCTCCTGAAATAAATGTGAGCAATTCTGTAGCAAAATGGAAAAGGGAAGAAGTAGAATCAATAGCCTCACACTCATTCCAGTTGTAGCTATTCCAGGGTAAGAAAATGGAACATCATGGAGAAGAGAAATGAAAATAAACTCAAGGGAAGATTTTTACTTTGTGTCCAAATACTCACTTTGGTTATTTTCATCTTTTGAACAAGAGAACACTTGTGATGAGTGAGGTTGGGAGTTTACCTGATCAAGAAAGAGCTGCAGGTAATAGAGACAGCACTAGATACTTGCAGCAGTATTTGAAACAGAGCACTGAGCTCTTTCAAAATCTTTAGAAGGGATGGAAGCATAACTGTCAGTGTTGGTCTCCAAGAACACCCCCAACAATAATGTGGAACAAAGGCCCCTATGAAGTCACTTCCTCAGTCACTTTCACCCAGTTGGTGGATCAAGAAGTTCCAACTCTGGAACAATTGGCTCCTGCAAGAAAACAACTAAGCTGTTATCCAGGGTTCAGATAATTAGCTGTGGGTACCAATCCTGGGATTAGGCATGCGTGCATATAAAATTCTGGAGCCCTGCCTTCTTATTTTGACTGCACTTGCTCTCTATGGCTAACCTTGTGGAAGTTATTTATCTCTCCAAGCCTCAGCTTTCCCATCTGTAAAATGTGGATAATTGTTCTACTGTTCAGGTTTTTGTGAGACTTCAATGAGAAAACTTGTGGAAAGATCCCAACAGCACATGACCACAGCTCAACCATTGCTTCCTTCACCTGACAGGCTTTGTGGTTTCAGGTTGGTTGAGCTAATCTCCTAAAACCTCAAATATTCCCTCTGCCTATCAGGAGGCCCATAGTCTCCATCTCCACACAACACTCATAGATTGTTGTGAAGGGAATTGGCTGGAATATCATTCTTTAAACACCCAAACAACCCTGTAGGTATGTCTCTTGTGGATCGCAAATTTCAGAAGACCGTGTCTAAAAGCACACATCTGTTAAGCAGTAATTAATTTGTGCTCATTTTTTTTAAACCCAAGGCATTCCACAAAGGGACTTCTGATGGGCATAAATTAATCAAATTTCCTACATTGAATATAATTAGTTGTCTTAAGTTGAAAAAAAATTAAAGGAAAAGATATTTCAGTTTGCTTGTGTGGCCTCACCTTGGGGTACATGTGTAGTTTCCATGTGGCTTCTATCACTGCACGCACACATACACTCTCTCCTGTGGGAACCTGAGGTCCTTGGAGCTGTGCTCTGATTGACTTGGGGTCTCTTCAGCTGGGTGAAGGGTATCCACTGAGTCATGTGAAGTGTGGAAAGAGGGGTTCCTCAGATAGAGGTTGAAGTGTGGTTACCAAGGTAGGTAATAAGAGTAACCAACAAAAGCAAAAACCAACAAAGTCTGTCTCTTCTAGAACTTTCCATTCAATCTTCATATCGAACCTGTGAGATTGGCACAATGCCATTACCATTTTATAGATGAGAAAATGGAGGTTTAAAGAAGCCCACATTTGCACAGCAAGTTGGGGCCAGAGCTGGGTCCCCTGGCCCTGAAGCCTGTGTTCTTTCCACGGGCTGATGCTCTGGCCACCAGCCTCATGTCCTTCTGCTCTTTCCCTCTGCCTTGATTTCCTCATTCCCTTCCCCTTCATCCCTACATTCAGCCTTTCTCACCAGACAGCTGCCAAGGGTCCAAACTGCTTCACGGCAGAGGCACAGCCCAAGAGGAGACCCTTCGAACTGGCTACAGCTACACGTCCGACAGCTTCCCACAGCGGGCCCGGAAATAATTATTGTCAGTAATTAGAACTAAATTACTCTTGTCAAAACACACCATTGCAGAGTCTCAGATCCCTCTCTCCCAGTTGTCTCTCCCCCTCCTCCTGGCCTAATTGAGATCTGTGTGGTCTCAAGAAATTCCCTCTAAGTTCTGGAGTCCAGGTGCCAGTCACTGCAAACACAGGCCCCATTTGCAGATGTGAGGTGAGGAGCTTGGGTTTCTGAGCCCTGGTTTCTCTGGACAGTGGGAGGAAAGAGGGTGATAATAATAGTGCTTGCTCATGGCAGCTAGACAGAGGAGACAAAAATGCAGCTTGAGGTGTGGTGGGAATTGCAGGAGTCTGTATTCAGGGAAGGCATCCTGCCATTATATAGACCTGTGTCAAGAGGAAAGCTAAAGAATGGGAAGGAAGGAAGGAGAAAAGGAAAAAAGGAAGGGAGAGAGGGAAGAAAGGAGGAAGAACGTTTATTGTTTCCATTCTGATTATAGCAATGACACTAGTCATTTTTACAAAATAGAGAAAAGTACAAAGAAAAAAAAAATCTCAAATGACTTTGACTCCCTGAGTTCATGGATTTGTCCCAGACCCAAGGCCCAAGAGGATGATGCCATGACAGCAAAATGTGGGAGCTTTGTTTACTCGACTGCGATCACTGGGGGGCAGCCTTGCACAGGTGACTCAACTATCCTGTGCCTCAGTTTCCACTTCTCTACAAGAGGGATAACAAGCAGGCCTGCCTGAAAGCCGAGTGTGAGGGTTAAATGAAACCATATTCTCGGCACAATGGTGGCCCATCACTGTGAGGTCACCTTTGTCTTTTTTCTGCCCCAACAAATGACAGTCGTGTAAACCTTTACAGTCTAGGATAGAAAGTGTAAGTGGGTCCACACTCATCCACACGTGAAAACTCATCCACACTGAATTGATGATTTGGATAGCAGAGCAGAAACCACAAAACCTTGAGAGAAAATCTAGGGGACACACAACAGGACATCTACACAGGTGTACGTGGGGGTGTGGCTCCAGTGGTAAGGGGAGTCAAAAGCAAATATAAAACCTCAAAAGAACCCCCCCCCCCAAACAAGAAGGCAAACTAAAGCCGGGAAGAAGATATTCGCACATCACATATCTGGCAAGAGGCTAATTTCCAAAATGTCCAAAGTACTCATACAATCCAACCACAAAAAGCAGACAAACCAAATCAATACCTGCTGGTGATATTCAGTGGGGGCCACCAGGGTGGTTAGTGATTTCTGCCCCGTTGTGATTGTGGTCCTTTTCCTCCCATCACCACGCAGTCTCTTTCTTGGCTGTTGGGTCAATTGCCCCCCAATTCTATCTTATCACCCTCAAATTGATCCTTCCTGAGCCTCCCCCCTTTGACACCCTCATAATATCTCCTCCGACTCCCTTCATTCTGTCTATATTCCTCCCCAGCAGGAAGCTGTTACTACCTAAATAGCCGAGTGACTCCTTGATTAAAAGATGGCAACACTGTGGATTCGCCACAATAGAACCCACTTCCATTTTGCTCACCATGGAATCCCCAGTGCCCGGCTCTGGCAGGCGCAGATCAGTGCCAAAGCTAGAATTAAACAAGCAGAGATTGAATTGTTAATGAGAGAAACGTTATTGTAAGGAAAGACCAGCATCTTCGCTGGGAAATGCAATCAACTGGAGACTTTGGTCCTTTAATTAGTAGGAACCAACTAACTCTGCAACATGCCTCAGTGTCCTTATGTTTAAGAATGATGCTCCATGCCACATTTTCTGCCTGTTCTCCCATTTAAATAATACATGCCGGACCGAGACCTGACTCCAGAAGCAGAAACTAAGTCATCTCCCTTGGGCGAGAGAGACAGTGCCAGGAGGCGCCCAGGCGCTGTCAGGGAGCGACTGGCTTAATGAGCCCTCCTGCTGCCTCCTGCTTTATATTCCAGTTCCAGGGGCCCCTGTGTAGGGCTCTCTCCTTACTCTTGATACAATGTTCTTGCCCTTGTGTTAACTGGAAGCTGGAGGTAATGACTGGCGGGAACTGGGCTCCTCGAGACGTGTTAGGCTGGGGAGACGTCACTGGGCCACAAATTGTGCCTCTAATTAGGCCGTTGCTGATGCAAAGAGCCCTGACTAGTTTACAGGCCTGCAGGGGTCAGAAGCATCCTCCAGCTGCCCAGGGTCTGAAATGGTGTGGGGAAGGGGATTAAGGGGGTGAGGAGGGCAAAGGTTGTGGGGAGATGAGAGAGAGAGGGGCTGAGAGGGAAAAATAAAAGAAGGGAAGAGACAAAGGAAGGTGGTTTCACTGCATGTGAAAGACCCAGGACCTCAGTTATGAGGGTGCACACTGATTCTTGGTTGTAGTGGCAGGAAGGGCCAGTGCAGGATCTCTATGATTGGAGCAGACGGGGTAAAGCAGTCCTGGAGCCCTCCGTGACTTTTTCAGGGTTTTGTTGAGTTTACCAGGTACACGGCAGGCAGGGGTGCTGGGGGCCAGGAGGCTGGCAGGCCTCCCGGCCCCTGGCCAGTCTTCACTCTTCCTGGGCTCTCCGGCCTTCTCTCGTGGCCTCTGCTCCTCTACTGGCTCTTTTCCTCTGTCTCTCACTCCGCTGGCGTCCCCATGACACCTCCCTTATAAGCCCAGTCTCAGCCCTGGTGTACCCACCCATGATGCCCACACCCTACTGCAGGTGCCCGCCATCAGGCATGCATTTAATCTAATGGGAGGCGGGTGGAAAAGCCTGATACTTTTTACTTAACCCGACATTGGTAAAATAACTTTAAAAACTGGCATTGTCAGAGCTAAACACACACCTCCTCTGACCCAGGCAATCCACTCCAAGCTTTATATATGAGGTGTGAATATATATGTCCCCCTAAAGTGTATTCATAGCAGATCTATTCATCCTAGGCCCACATTACACGACCTTAATGTCCATCAGTGGGAGCTGTGAAGAGACTCCCCGAGGCATTTCCTACAATGGGGTACCACACAGCAACTTTAAAAAGGACATAGCCAAAGAACTGCTGATAATTGCAGCCAAGTGGTATTTTTGTGGAGCAAAACAAGCAGGCCCAGAAAAGGCACATTGTGTAAAATTTCTTTTTCACTCAGTTCAAAAACGGGCAAAAGTAAACTATGCAGATAGAGGAATGATGGTTACTTCTTGTGAGGAGTGTATTAACTAGCAGGGGACCTGAGGGACGATTCTGGAAGGCTGTAAATATTCCATAGCTGGGGCTGGATGTGGTTGCAGGGATGTAAGCAGTAAGCCAGCTCTATGCTGCATGTGAAGTCCTAACTCAATAAAGGCAAAGATACGTATTTCTCAAAACAACAGTTGAAAAAATGTTATATTTGAGTTCAAACTTCCATTTCTTTGACTCAGTAAGGAAAGCATGTTTATCTGTCTTAAGCATTTATTTGGTGAACTGTCTGGGCTGATTCCCAGCCCAGGTTCCAAATGGGATCTTTGTTCTTATCTCACTAATGTGGAAAATCTTGCTAATTAGCAAGTGCATTTGAATCCCTGCCCACCTGCTTGTTGTGAATCCCTCCCCCTTGGTTCATCATCTTTCCTCATTTGGCTCCTGA